TGGCAAATGTCTTAACAAGTTGCTAACAAATGGTGTTTTTCAGGACAGCTCTTAAACCAATTGATCTTCTTTCAAAGGCAGAGTTACATAGCATCCCTTTGCATAGGTATATCATATTTTTTAAAATTGTCTACTGTTGGAAATCCATTTTAGGCCATGTAATGTTTCAAATCCCAATTGCCTTGTAAGGTTTCCAAGCATCTCAAAAAAAGATTCTTTAGATTACAACAAGCGATGCCTAAGTCTAGAGTGCTTCTGACAGGCAAAGGTTTGTTATACTCGGTGCCCGCTTCCTTGATGTTTGTTGCCTTTATACTATTTACACACCACTTAACACCTTGCCGGTAAGAATAGATAGAGAAGGGAATGGCAAACCACTCCAGTGTTCTTGCCTGGGAAATGCCATGAACAGAGGAGCCTGCAGGCCTCAGTCTATATGGTGTTGCAAAGAATTGGACATGACTGAGCAACTAACATATTCACTCAAAAATAGATACTAAAATCAGCATGGAAAAATGTTAATTAACTCAAAATAAAAGTTTGAAAGCCTAGAATAATAATATCAAGCTGTTAAGTACTTTTTATAGCTTAAAAATACACTAGTCACCCAGTTAATATTTATTAAGCACCTAGCATTTACCAAATGCTACCGTAGATATCAAGGATACATGGGTAAAAGGTCCCATCTGTACCTTCAAGGAGCTTGCAGAATGGGGACAGGGAGACAAGTAAGCCACGACAACACTGAATGACAAGAAGCCAAGAAAGGAGATGCACGCGGTGCTCTGAGAAAAAGGCAAAACGGGAAACACATAGAAAGTAAAATAAACAAATAAAAACAATTTAGTCTGCAGTATTAGGGATGATGGCGCCTTAAAGACGATTATTATCCTCATATCTGAGACTCAGAAAGGCTAAGGAGACACCCCGTGTGTCGCACATCGAAAAGCAGAGCTGGAAAAAGTCTCACCAAGGTGTCCCAAGCCCCACCGCACATCACTCACTCCTTCAAAGAGACGAAGGTGCTTTGAAAGCATGTAGTAGGAGACAAGTTTCTCTTTTCCTTTAACAGAATAGATAATAAATATCAACGAGATTTTTGCTTTGTTTTGTTTTCCAGGGGGATTTCTTTTCCTTGAATAGATTATCCAATTGTCTCTTTGTGTTCATTCTTTACACATTAGAACTATGAAAGATAAAACACCCACAACCCCAAAGTGAGAGTCAGTATTGTGTGAAAAGAACACTATGTGGGGGCTGACAGGTCAACACCGTCCCCTGCTAAGGTGGAGTTCAAGGCAGCCACAGGAAGTCACTCAACAGCCTGGGTTCAGCATGCGCGTCCGGAGACGCTGAGGATTGCTCCAAGGGAGAGGAGGGAGTTCACATTCTTTATGCCCAAAGCTGCTTTGAAGTTTTGGACTAAAAAGAGAAGGAAGGTTCTTGCCTCTTTAAATAATCAGGCATCGAAGAATGAATTTTTTATCCTTAAGTCTAAAATCAAATTCACTACCTCGCCTCTGACTAGCGCCTCCTCTCACCTCCTGCCCTAACCCAAGCACGCACCTTCTTTCACGCCCCTTAAGAGTGGGGCCTGCTTGCAAGTGTCGCAGACTCTGCCTCCCCAGTGCTGAGGAGGTCTCAGCACCTGCTCCACCCTGACCCCTGGCCGAGGGCCCCTCACCAGCCTTCCCTGGACTCTCACTGACCCCCACCCCTCCCCGCTCCCCTCCAGAAACACTGACACATGGAGACCCAACAAGGGTACGTTTGCATGCTTAAAAGCCTTTAACTGCTCACTATGGACAATTAAATATATTCCAAACACTCCAGCTGAGCAATATTCAAAGCTCCTGAGCTACTGGGTTTTGCCTAAATGCCCTGTCTTCTCTCTCATTACCCTCCTGAATAGACCTCATTCTCCAAGCAAATTAACTTCTTCTTCTCCCCCAGACAGGTCCTTTGCATCCTGCACCCATATCTCTGCACTTGCACTTTCTTCCATGTCAATGCCTTCCTTCCTTTCTGTCCTTCAATGTCTGGTCCAGACGCTACCTTAAACGTTTCCTCCCTACTAGAAATCATTCCTCCCTCTTCTGAGCTGGTGTGCAGTGATGTGTCCGACTCTGCAACCCCATGGACGGTAGCCCACCAGGCTCCTCTGTCCATGGGGTTTCCCAGGCAAGAACACTGGAGTGGGCTGCCATTCCCTCTTCCAGGGGATCTTCCCCACCCAGGGATCGAACCTGTGTCTCCTGAATTGGCAGACAGTTTCTTTACCACTGCGCCACCTGGGAAGCCCCTCCAACCTGGTGTAGCATTTTGTTTCTACCCATCTTGGGGCCCTGATCACAGAGACTATGCTACAGTCAGTCATGTGCTGCTGAAGAAGCTCACCCCATGACTCGCTATGTGGCATCTGCCAATGGCTGTGGTGGAAATATTCATACCATGGTTGATTTCAAAGAGTTGGCAAGAGATGTGCAAGTCTGCTTCCATGATCGCCGGGAGGAGCCGACTGGAGCACACCACTCTTCATCTGTTTCTTTGCAGAATGGGAAAGGAATACCTTTCCATGGAATTCTTGCAAAGATTAAATCATGAAGAGAATGCACGTTACTCAACACCACCTGACGTGGAGTAAACAATCCATGCTAGTGCTTCCGCTGAGACTGCTCCATAACCCCTACTGCTGCTCGGACCCTATCGTCACCACTGCTAGGAACAGCGTCAGGCCTGCACCTACTCCTGCTACTATTTCCACTGCTCAAAGTAATGGTAGTATCTGCCCCACTAAGGGCATCCCAGGTGGTGCTAGTGGTAAAGAACCCACCTGCCAAGAGGCAGGAGACAAAAGAGATGCAGGTTCGATCCCTGGGTGGGGAAGATCCCCTGGAGGAGGAAGTGGCAACCCACTCCAGTATTCTTGCCTGGAGAATCCCATGGACAGAGGAGCTCTGGGGGTTATGGTCTATGGGGTCTCAAAGAATCAGACATGACTAAAGCAACTTAGCGCGCACACACACACACACACGCGCGCATGCTGCTCCACTAAACTGCAAATGTCTTGAAGTAGGGAAGTGCCTACTAGTTTTCAAGTGCAAGGCTTTTCCTAACACCAAGCTATACATGCTTTCTCCCTTAATTCTGACAGTCACCCCATGAGAGTCTATAATTATCTCCAGTTTCTAGACATCCAGCTGAGACTGAAAAAGTTGAAGTCACTTGCTCAAGATTGCACGGGCTCCCCTGGTAGCTCAGCCGGCAAAGAATCCGCCTGCAATGCAGGTTCAATTTCGAGGTCAGAAAGATCCCCTGAAGAAGGGATAGGCTACCCTACCCATGAATACTGCCCCAGTATTCATGGGCTTCCCTGGTGGCCCAGACGGGAAAGAATCCGCTTGCAATGTGGGAGACCTGGGTTCCATTCCTGGCTTGGGAAGATCCCCTGCAGGAGGCCATCCCGAGTGCACCACCCTGGACGTGTGGAGTCTCAACCACTGGACGGCCAGAGAAGTCCCTACAAACCATTCTTTGATTAAACCCATCTGATGCTCAAGAATCTATCAAATTAATAAATTGTCTCAATTTTAGACAGCAGACTTACCTTTTCGCCCAAACTCTTCCTCCTATGGATTAATCTTTATGGTCCAGGGAAGACTTATCAGAATTATCTTACCTGCCTAAACTTCTGTACAAAGTCAAAGCTATAAAAAAAAAACCTGAGTTGTGATTATCTGTAACTTCTTATGAAAGAGGAACTTTAGCCAAAGAATTACATTTAAAACACATGCTTTTCTTGAATGAACAGGCAAAAATGCAATTACAAATGGCACATAAAGCTAGAAATTAGTGAGCATGTGAGACGACCTTGAAAAAATCAAAACTGATCATTCTTGTCTAACTGCAGTCAAAGAGAGTGCCCATGGACTGAACTGTAGTTTCATTAGCTTGATTAAAAGTGAAAACCGGAGGAAGGGTAAAGTAGGTCAAAAACTTCCTGACTCCTTTAGGATTAAAACATTCACTAGACGCCAGCATGTGTGAAAGGCTCAGTAAGAATCTATTTGCCATTCTAGGAAGATGTGGAAAGAAAGTCAGGACACCCTCAATTCGAAAAACTGCTTACAAGAGAATGAAACACACAGAACTGGGCACAGACTCCAGCGAAAGGGTTTTGAAAGTGAAAACACCTTCATTCATGGCCCAAGCTAGGAAATTCATAGCCGGAGGGGCAACCTATACACAGGATATACAAAACAGGTTTTATTATGGGACTGATCAGGTTTTTCAAAGCCAGCTCTTAATTACATAAGTCAAGCTTTCTACCATTTCTTCCTTCTGTTCCTCTCACCCACATGGGGAGACACATGCACACACTCACACTCACGCTCGCACACCCCTCATCTTACATAAAACCGTATATTGTTCCTAAAACCTTCAACCAAGCCACCCTGTGCCTCCCCCTCTGCCACAGCAACCCCACAGTTCCATTTTTGAACATCTTAAAACAGCGCTCCCTCTCCCAAACTAATCTGGTTGTGGGAAGGAGAGGAGACCAAAGACAGCAAGTGGTGAGAAAAGGAAGATTTCTGGGCTGATCACAGCCTGAGTGACAGCTGCAAGACCTCAGCCGTTAGGCTCAAGGCTTCCATGGTTTGTGAGGGACTTGGAGGAGCAGGAAGTCAAAGGAAAGTAAATAAGCAAGAGTGATGACTACCTTTTCTAGGAACTCACCATGGAAATTAAGAATTCCGTTTGATTTTATAAAAAGGTAAAAGCATAATTCTTCAATTCTAGATATACCATCAATTTATTAATAGCTTCTTTGAAAGGTGGGAAAGGAAATAGGACCACATTAAACCTACGTACTGACTTTAAGATATATCCCATTTCAGACATGCTAACTGAGGAGCTGGGGGGTGTCGTTCGTTAGGCAGGTAAGGCGTGGAGCAGGGCCTGGAAGCGAGAGCAAAGCCCAAACCCAGAAACCCACATACCTGGACCACCTCTTCTGGCTCTGTGGTCCTGTGGTTCCGCTGAGACTCGGCCACCTCCACAGACGGGGAGCTGGGAGGGCTGCTGACAGAAGAGGCCTGGAGCTTCTACTCACTCAAGGACTGCCCAGTCAAAAGGGAACATCTGTAGGGGATGAAAAAGACTTCAGGTCAGGGAACTATGTCATCTTCCACATACAAACCTACACCATACACCATTTCCATTTCGTCAGTAGCACAGACATGCACACACAGATCCAGGGATGTTGAAAGCTCGTTTACAGAAGCGCTGAAAATATTTTCTTTATGGACTTTTCCGATGGGAGCCTTATTGTTTGTGAACTGTACATATTCAAAGACACCATCTTCCTATGAATTTTTCACTCCAGTTTACTCCCGGGACGAGCTGTCCTCCACACTGAGGGGTTTGACTCCTGCATGAAGCATGTCTCAGGAGAGACTTGTGGCTGGGAGGTGAGGTGACCCTGCACGGAGACGGGTCTGGTTTCATGCTAACACTCCTCATGGTGCGCCATCATATTTCACTCTAGTATCCGGGATCCTCGCAAAGTTCTGCCTTTCTTTTTAAGTACGTTATTGAGGCTCTTATTATAAGTAAAAGTGATGGCTTAAGAAGTTTAGCTGTCAGAAACCACAGCAATACAGCCTCCATTTACCGCTACAAAGCATGAGGTCAGAACAGAAAATTAAAACAACCCTACCCCCGTCCTTAGAGGGAGTCAGGAACAGAGGTGACTGACTCTTCTGGTCCCGTAGAGATGTCGTTTGAGCTTTACTGAGTAGTATTTCCATTAACCACGAAAAGCTCGGGAAAACTGGAATAAAGAAGAGAGAAATCAGAGGGAGACCATAAAAGCCCAGTTCATTTCAAGGAGAAAGCAGTAACCATTCCTTTCCCCTACATTTTAAATATCACAACAAATTTAAGTAACAAAATAAACAATTCACTGAGAGCACACTTTTATGTACAACTTTAATTTCTTCCTACTGGGTTCATTACCAAGCTGTTTACTTTCTTCAGGCAGGATGGGAGGGGAAAAAAAAAATTTTAAAGGACTCATTTAACACAGAAGTCAATTTCCACTAATGTTGTCTTCATGTAGCATACATGGTCTTTCAAAACAGACCTATACATACATATAGTAGTCTCTTCCTTTATAAGAACAACAGCAATTAGCCTACCATCACACACATCATTGCTATTCTTACCCTGGAGGAAAAAAACATGAATATGAGAACCATCTTATTTATAATAATTGCAGACTGGTTAGTGTTTCTGACAGAACCGATTTTCTCCTCACTTGCATAAACAACTCTAATTGTGAAAAGAATAACTCTTCTTTAACTATTGGATAACCCAGATTTTTGCTTTCTGAAAAGTTAAGCAAGGAGTATTTTTCATGCATTCTGTCCTAAGAAAGCAGGAAGAAAGTGCTTGCCGATCAGCTGCAGCCATCGGGCTGTTTAACACAAGAGTCCCCAGGCACTGCGGGCCTTGGAGTTCAGGTGTGTCACTGGGGACACGAGAGGGCACGTGGACCACCAGCCCTTTCGCAGGGTTACCAAGGGCTCCACAGGCCCCAAACAACCAGAAGCCACTTCTGTGCGTTTCTCGTGAAAGGGAAGCACGTGAGGGCTTTGCGCTGGTGTGTAGGAGGCCAAAGTGGGCAGGAAAGAGAGATGAAAGCAGAAGCAACTGAACAGCCTACAAAATATTCATCACAAAGATTCCACAGAACGCCTCCTTTTTCTCCTGAGCTCTTCAGATCATGCTTATAGGTAAAGATAGGAGGTTTTAATTGGCAAGAATGCATATCTAGTTTGTTAGAGATGGGAGAATAGAAGGGACAGTCTTAAAATTCCTCAAAATCTACTTAAAATTCCCTAAAATTCCTCTCAAAATTTCCTCAAAACTCATTCCATTCAGAAAATTTAGCAGTGGGAGCAGGAGAGGGGACATTTGCATGGCCCACCCTCTCACCCAACATACACGCATCTGCTCACTTAGAGCCCAAAAGCAACGTGATTAAAGTAGCTACAGAAAGTCATCAAAATCATTGAAAGTAATGCTTAGACAAAATGTACACATATGAGACACAGACATTAAAGGAAATGCATTAAATAGAATACACATTTTGAGTTCTATCTTTGATAAGTGTGACCCCAAAAGAAAATTTTCTCTACAAAGTTTTCAAATGGTTCTTCAATGTTTCCTCATACCAAAAAGAAAAAAAAAGCTTGGCTATTACAGAATTGGTCTGGGCCAGAATTTACTCCCCAATAATACTTATCACAGATGCAGAGATCTATGAAATAATATATATAATATATAATAATATTTATATATAGTTAGCCCTTTCAAATATATATTTTGGTCCAAAAAGTGCCCAAGAGATATGTTTCAGGCTCAGCTTCATCATTTCTACACATGACTCAGTAATTTTCCCTTGTGTGGCTGTTCAAATGTCACTTGACACCTTAGTCATTTACAGAACATGGTCACCTATATTGTCCCAAAAAATCCTCATGGGCATCCTGTGAAGTAGGTGGGATAAATATTAATAGCATTCACTGCTTAATAGAGGAATAAAAATTCATAGATGTCAACAAGTCAGAGGTAATGAAAGCAGAACCAGGGGTCAAACTGTCTGACCCTTAGTCTAGCAAACATATGCGAAATTTCAGATAGGTCTGTGTTTCACAAGGTATGGAATATTCCCATTGTGGCTACCAATCCCAGGATTCATTCTAGCAACAGCCTTTTTCTTTTTTTGGTAATGCTCTTTAGTCCATCTTCTAGCTCCCTAAAACAGCATAGCTAATTCTCACCAATCTTTTTCATTAATTCATCGCTGGGGTTAAGGTTCCTTCTTCCAGAAGGTCTCCCCCTAGACAAGGATCAGTGAGCTGGGTTTCCATGGATCAGTCTAAAGAGCAGAGGAACAACTAATACTTGGTGACCCGCTTCTAGCACACCATTGTTCTTAACAATAACAAACATGTCACTCAAAAGAAGACATAGCTAGCTTGCTTTCACTTGACAATCAATCTGCCTCTAGAGCTAGAACCAATAAGAGGCACAGCCTCCCATTCTGTTATAGAGGTTCTATAGTCTCCCCCAGCTTACTCCCCTTTATCACCTCTCATTGAAATGATTTCTTCTACAGAAGTGAAATGGCATATTGCATGGAATGACTATAAGCTATCTTTTTAATTCTCTTGTTCAATAGTATTTGAGAGGAAGCAAACACGAGTTCTGATGATGACAGGTGGAAGGTGGTAACTGAGTTAGCATCATTGCATGCATTCTAAACCACTTGCAGGAATGGGGCATTACCTAGTTGCATGAGTCTGAAATGGCCAAATAAACACATTTGTTCTAAGAAGATGACAGCAGTTCTCCATGTTAACAGTGAAAATATTAAGCCCACAGAGGACATTCTAACTGTTCGGACAGAATGGCTTGAGTGCTAGGCCAGCTCATTAAATCCAGCCCAAGTAAAGGAAGAAGAGGTTGACGAGGTCACAGCTCAGGAACGAGGTCGCCAGCCAATCTGACCTCACAGCAACTAAAGAGTGTGACTGATGAAAAGGCGTCCCCCGAGAAGAGGTCAACATCCCTTTGCCTAAATGAGTCTTTCAGCTCAGGGGGAAATAATGTTGGCTAGAACTCTCTCCTGTGTCCAGGGAAGCGTGTGACTAACAGCACTTTGAAGTCTATTGTGAATGATATAATGATTAACTGACTTTTCGGATCCTAGAAAGGTTAACATTAGCAGCCACTATCAGTGCTTCAGAGCTGAAGCGGTAGTGTGTGACACTCAAACTCCACCATGAGCTCAGAGAATGATTAAAGTCAGAAGTGATCCATGGCTGCTTATAAATGAAGTCTGACTCCTAATATTATCAATAATGTGGAGTAGGCAAAATATAATTGTGGGTGGCAAAAAGGATAGTTAGATTCAGTTTTCTAAGGAACCAAGAAAAGCAGTTGGGCTAATGAAAATATTAACTATTAGTTGTCAATTTTGGAAATGAATGCTATTTTTAAGAATGTAGGAGGTTGTCTTATCATAAATATTTCAAAGAGCCAATCAATAATACATCGTACCCCGCTAGTTACCAATGTGAAGAAATTTATTCACTAGTTTTATTTCTGCTGAAATCCATTTTTTAAGGTTTGGGATTGATTATATCAAGATAAGTTGTCTTCTTTTTATCAAAATATTATTTACTACTTAAACACTTCTAAAGCAGTAACATGTTATGACTCCTTCATTTGTTGACTAGAAAAGCCGAATACTTACTAACATTTCTTGAAAACTTGCTATAAGCCCACAGCAAAGAATTTGACATCATCAAACTGTTTTCCTTTACTTGACAGGAAGTCGACTTCAAGCAGACTGACTTGAATCAGAACCTCACTGGGGAAGCCTAAGTGTTCAATAAACTGCATTATTTCTTCATCTGGAAAATACTGAAGAGCAGTGGCTTTTGTCATCCTGGACTTAACTTTCTGAAAGCCTGGCCATCCCATGCGGACTTCTGGTAGAATGAGCAATGCAAAGAGCTGGCTTGGACTTGGCATGTCCTTGTACTTCTGGGGATTGATGGACCTTACCACCCCTGTTCTCTCGGGCAAACCAACACCACCAGGCAAACTAGAAGTGTTCCTGTCAGACAAACCACAGTCACACCCGCGGACAAAGAGGAGCTGGGTTTGGAACCAGTTTTTTGTTCTGGAAGAATACACTGGAACTGACCCTTTGTATGTCGGCAAGGTAAGAACTGCCAAAGAGAATGAAACATTATCTGAGTACCGGATACTGAAACTGAATAGGAATAAGAACTATGAAAGTTTGCATAGTCTGAGGCCTGAGAACAATTTTAAACTAGAGTATGTTAATTGACAGCTAGTTGAGATCTAGCTTTTGCTTTGTCAGATACTGGTCAGAAAGGAAAGACTTCTCTCCTTGTCCTTGCCTCTGTTCTGAGTGTGAAAGGCTAGGAATTGGGTTTTTGGAGGAAAAGCCTTGGGTCCTGCAAGAACTGTTCAAGTCCTCACACAGGTGGCAGCAGCCTCAGGAACAACAGGATGAGGAAGAAGTAAACTGAGACATGCAAAGGGAGGAGCTTAGGGGGGTTTTTTTGTTTTTTTTTTCCCCCAAAACATTTCCACAGGTATTGCCTGAGGCCAAAACTTAATGAAGAAAAAAAAGAATAAAACATTCTTCATTTCAGAAGATCCTAGCTTGTGCTTTAGGATAGCTGGAGACGATCAATGAATATATTTATAAACTTTACACTCGAAATGCCTTGATTCATCTAGCATCATTTCATTTTTAATCGGGGCTTTCTTCTGCGTTTACTTTATTTGCATGTTAATCAGAGGCCATTTTGCAAAAGCAACTAAGTGAGAGAATACGGGAAACAAGGAACTAATTAGAAAATGAATAATTCATTCAAATAACTTAAACACTTGCTTAGTACACAGGCTAAGAGTGCAGGCTGCAGAGTCAAACACACGTGGGTGCAAAACCCGGCTCTGCCAATTGCTTCCAGAGTGACTCTGGGCGGGTCACTAAGTCCTGTTAACCTCTGTTTCCCCAAATGTTGAAGGATAATAAGAGAATTACAACTTCTCAAGAGTTGTCTACATAAGCTCTTTCCTCAACTTCCACCCACTTCTCAACCAGGGGGGCTTCCCTGGTAGCTCAGTCGGTAAAGAATCTTCCTGGGTTCGATCCCTGGGTCGGGAAGATCCCCTGGAGAAGGGCATGGCAGGCCACTCCACTCTTCTTGCCTGGAGAATCCACGGACAGAGGAGCCTGGCGTGCTACAGTCCACCGGGTCACAAAGAGCCGGACACACCTTAGTGGCTAAACCACCACTGAGCCCAGGCAGCTGCCCTCCGCCCTCCCTCCGCACGGACGCCATGTTTTGGGGGCTCCTCGGCACCTCCCCACCCCCAGAGCTGGCGGTTCAGTTTATGGAGCCGCCCCATGGGGGCCTTGGACGCCGCTGCCCAGCCCCTCCTTCCTGACTCAGGTTCTTGCCTCAGCTTCGCGGCGTTCCCAGCCCCGTTCCTCCTCCTGCCTTCTCGGCCCCTCGCCGGTCGTCCCTGTCCAGCTGGCCCAGCCTGCGGGGTCCTGTCAGCTCTGCCCGGGGCCTCTTCCCTGTCACACTCACCCCCGCGGGATGTTTTTAACTCTTCCCTGTGGCCTTAAACCCCTAAACCAAGGAATTCAAAGCCTCCGTCTCTGACTCAGACCACTCGTCCGAGCTTAGGACTGAAAACCCTCGCGCTCCGCATTTAGGACTCCTCGGCCTCTATCCGCTGAAGCGTCCGGATCTCCCTCCGGAACCGAGTCTGCCCTCGGTCGTCCCAGGGGCGACCTTGCCACCACCCGGTTCCTAGGCCTGGGCCCTGTTGGTGAGGCGGCGCGTTCCCTCGGCCTCTGCGCCTGCAGATGCCCTTAGTCCGGAGCCACATAAACCCTCCGCCCTCCCACCCCCGCGCCCACCGTCATCTCAGCTGCGCAAACACCGGGCCTCCCAACAGCCGCCTTACTTCTGCCCGCACTTCCTTCCGGGCCATTCTCCATCTTTTGAAATGTGAGTCAGACAGTAAGACTCTGCCTGCGAGGCAGGAGACCCAGGTTCGATTCCCCGGGTCGGGAAGAGCGCCTGGAGGAGGGCATGGCAACCCACTCCAGGGTTCTGGCCTGGAGAACCCCACGGACAGAGGAGCCCGAGGGGCACAGTCCACGGGACCGCAGAGACGGACACAACCGACACAGGCCGCGTCACGCTGGGGACGGCGTCAGGGCCTCCCCGCTGCGCTCTGAGCCACGCGGACCCGCCCTCCTCTCGCGCTGCCGCTCCTCCCACCGCCTCCCCGCCGGCCCCCGCCACGGGCACCCTCCCAGCCGGTCCCCGCCACGGGCACGCTCCCCGCCAGCCCCCTCCACGGGCNCCCGCCACGGGCACGCTTCCCACCGGCCCCCACCACGGGCTCGCTGCCCACCGGCCCCCGCCACGGGCACGCTCCCCGCCGGCCCCCGCCACAGGCACGCTCCCTGCCGACCCCCGCCACGGGATCGCTGCCCACCAGCTCCCGCCATGGGCACACTGCCCGTCCCACCGTCTCAGCCGGGGCTCTGGCCGCTGCCCTCTCCCCGCGGGGACGTGGGGACGCGGCCTCCAGCAGCGCCAGGCTGGCCGGCCCTGCCTTCCTCCCCCACCGTGAGACACGCTCGTCCTGGCTCCCCGCGGGGGCGGCTCCTCTTCGTCCTCGAGGCCTCATTCACACCTGGCTTTGCCTTGGCCATCCTCTAAGGCGCACCCCTGGTGGACTCTCTCAGCACCACCAGGTTTTCAGCGTTCTGATCACCCTACAACATCTAAGTTACTCATTTGTCTACATGTGTATTGTCTGGAGTCCTGTGTGTGTGCAGTCAGTCGTCTCCGATTCTTTGCGGACCCATAGCCTGTAGCCCGCCAGACTCCTCTGTCCATGGGATTTTTCAGACAGGAACACTGGAGTGGGTTGCCATGCGCTCCTCCAGGGGATCTTCCTGACCCAGGGATCGAACCTGCACCTCTTGTGTCTTCTGCACTGACAGGCAGACTCTTTACCACTGGAGCCACCTGGAAGGGCTTAGACCAGACTATAAGCTCTGTGAGGACAAGGGCATCGCTTCCGTTTTCTCCACAAAACCTAACACAGTACCTGTCACGCAGACACGAGTACCTCGTAGAGTAATAAGGGTTAAGTAAGCCAGCACAGGTAAAGTGCTCTAGGAGAGTGCCTGGTCCAGAGTAAGATCTTAATGACCGTTACCCTGTAGAAGGAGGACGATGAGGAATAGTAATAGTAGCAGCAGCAACAGGATAGCGAGTTCATTAACGGAATTAAGCAGCTCAGTGACGCATACCTAATGTGCCTGCAAATCTCTGAGCCTCAAAGCCCGTGGATTTTCTTTGACTTCTCCCTCTCCTTCTCTTCTTCCTTCATGCACCCACGTCCTGTCAGTATCTCCTTGCCACTTTCTCTGAGTCACTCATCCTCTCCAGCTCTGTCCTCACTCTGGTCCTCTGGGTCTTCATGATTAGATTAACTGAGTGGGCGCCGTAAGGAAGGATGTCCCCGTCCTTCCCCCGGGACTCGGGCCGTTTATCTCCTTGAAGCACCCTTCCCATCATGTCGCTCGTCTGATTAAGGAAGCACTGTCGCTCTGCAGTGCTCATTGGAGCTCTCGGCACATAGGGCAAGGACTGCCGGAAGATGAGCCCCGCTGGGATAGCTGCAGCCTCACCCTGCTCTCCGTCAGGCTGGGTCTCCTTTCCGTCCCCGACACAACACACCCTGAGAGTGCGCGTGCTGCTTTCGCCCGGGACGCTCCGTCCCCTCCTCTCCATTCGGTCATGGTCACGTTTCTCAGGGTCCCAGCTTAAAAGCATTTTCCATCATGACTACATCTTCCATTCATTCAGAGTTCCAAAGATTTCTAGCAACATGTATTTGTAAAACATTTCTCCCAACTGGACACACATAGCTCCTGCTAAATCAAGTTTGGGAAAACACTTTTGTATTCAGTAATGGCTTTGTGTGTTTACACAACTTCAAGCCTGCCCTCCTTCTCCCAAGGGAACACACCGAGACCTCATGCCTGGCCTTGCCTGCATGTCCCTGACACTACGCACCTGGCACAGACATAGAGATGCAGACAGTCTAGGGGAGCCGACGCTGTCCCGGGGCTCCGCGGTGCTGAGCGTCAGCCCCGCGCACTTCAGGCAGGTTGTTCAGGCATCACAGCAGTGCTATGAGTGAGTATAAGGCACCTCTCCTGGATAATTTAAATAAGGGAAGGTTCAGAGAGGTTATGTTCCTTGCCCAAAGTTACACAGAAGGTTAATAGGAAATCTGACACTGAAGCCATGGGGTTTCTCTTTCTTTGGCCTGTATGTGGCCATGACTTTAGACCTCGCCCTGAGAGACACACAGAAGAGTCCGTGGTGTCAGTGAGACCAGAGATGTAACCAAGCCTGTTCCCTGGAGGTGGGAGCGCTCAGCCATGCAGCATGCTCCAGGGCTCATGATCAGTGCAACCCCGTGGGCCGGAGCCCTCCAGCCTTCCCTCTCCATGGGATTCTCCAGGCGAGAATACTGGAGTGGCTAGCCATGCCCTCCCTCTTCCAGGGGAATCTTCCCGACATGGGGATCAAACACATGTCTGGCTGTATTGGCAGGCAGGTTCTTTACCACTAGCGCCCCCTGGGAAGCCCGTGATTGGGGCTCACCCTGTCCTAATCCACCCACCGTGGGACACAGGCCATCCCCGCGCCTCCACAGTCGTCCTGGCCAACCAGTTCTCAAGGCAAGTCTGCGCCCTGGATTGGGTCTGTCACCTGCACATGAAGAGAGTTGTGTACTCACTCACCCAGGCACTGCTCCCCCTCTCTTCTGAAAGAGAACCCATCCCTCTCTCCCAGGGATCATTTCAGCTCGTCACCATGAGCTCTGGAAGATGTCTGTTTAGAGAGTCTGCCTGAGTATTTGCTTTTTTCAGAAAGGAGTATGGCAACAATTATCAGCTGTAATTGGTATGGCCTTACAAAATCCACACTGGGCTTCCCAGGCACAAGGCAGTGTCAAGTCAAACAGGGATTATGTTGACATATGCAAAGAGGTGGATGCAGGGAGCTTGTGCTTATGCACGAATCCGGGGTCCTGAGTTGTGCTGAGGTTAACAAGTGCGCGGAAGCTGTCTAACCACAAATTGTGAGCACTCACTGCCTTCCTGGAACCATACGAGGAACCGTGAAAGACGGCAGAAAGGAGCGCCACCGCCCCCCGTGTTGAGCTTCATGTACTTCCCGTCACTCACTACTCCTCTGGCTCAAGATCTTATAGACGAAAGCAAGGTGAGGCTAAGCAGGGTATCCAGCTGTCTTGGTCTGTCTAGGACAGCAAAGCTGTTTTCCCAGGATGGGGGTAACTGTGTGCTACCAACTCCATTCCCGAAGCTCCGCACCTTCCTCCGAAGAGCTGGTGCTGTCAGTGTGAGCTGAATTAAACATGGATACATGTAAAGCACATCTTTATTGCAGTACCAACTTGCTGAGTGACTGAGAGAAAAGCTGTTAATATCTCTTCTTTGCAATTTTTGCAACCAAATGTGCGTCCTATGACTGGAGAATATTGGGGCTCACCCTGTCCTAATCCACCCACCGTGGGACACAGGCCATCCCCGCGCCTCCACAGTCGTCCTGGCCAACCAGTTCTCAAGGCAAGTCTGCGCCCTGGATTGGGTCTGTCACCTGCACATGAAGAGAGTTGTGTACTCACTCACCCAGGCACTGCTCCCCCTCTCTTCTGAAAGAGAACCCATCCCTCTCTCCCAGGGATCATTTCAGCTCGTCACCATGAGCTCTGGAAGATGTCTGTTTAGAGAGTCTGCCTGAGTATTTGCTTTTTTCAGAAAGGAGTATGGCAACAATTATCAGCTGTAATTGGTATGGCCTTACAAAATCCACACTGGGCTTCCCAGGCACAAGGCAGTGTCAAGTCAAACCGGGATTATGTTGACATATGCAAAGAGGTGGATGCAGGGAGCTTGTGCTTATGCACGAATCCGGGGTCCTGAGTTGTGCTGAGGTTAACAAGTGCGCGGAAGCTGTCTAACCACAAATTGTGAGCACTCACTGCCTTCCTGGAACCATACGAGGAACCGTGAAAGACGGCAGAAAGGAGCGCCACCGCCCCCCGTGTTGAGCTTCATGTACTTCCCGTCACTCACTACTCCTCTGGCTCAAGATCTTATAGACGAAAGCAAGGTGAGGCTAAGCAGGGTATCCAGCTGTCTTGGTCTGTCTAGGACAGCAAAGCTGTTTTCCCAGGATGGGGGTAACTGTGTGCTACCAACTCCATTCCCGAAGCTCCGCACCTTCCTCCGAAGAGCTGGTGCTGTCAGTGTGAGCTGAATTAAACATGGATACATGTAAAGCACATCTTTATTGCAGTACCAACTTGCTGAGTGACTGAGAGAAAAGCTGTTAATATCTCTTCTTTGCAATTTTTGCAACCAAATGTGCGTCCTATGACTGGAGAATCTCATGTTCAGTTCACATCACTGTGCTGGCTACTAGGCTAGTGTCTCAGCTCCGTATCCACCTTCCCATACTCCACGGGGCTGGGACTCTGCACATCACAGCTTTTCTGTTTCCAAGCAGCTCCCGGGTTCTGACGGTGGAATGTTCTAGGGGGAGAACCAAAGGCAGGAGAAGAGGGACTTGCTCCTTTTAACTGTGGGAGCTGATTCTGGTTTCTGGAAGCATTTCCATACCCCAGCCTCACACATCCACTGGAGGGCGCCGCCTTCTCAGAGGTCTGAGTCTCAACTCCACCGGGGGTGGGCGCTGGGGGCGGGGCACCTCTAAATGCCTGGAGCCCAGCCCAAGGGGATAACACCCCCTTCTCAGAGGGCTCCAGCCCAGCCTCCTCCAAACATCTAGATTCCAAGCACCCCCAACGCCTGTCCTCTGCTCGCCCAGCCAGAGGGGCACAAGCTGTTTCCTCGAGTTACTGGTCACCATTGCCAGTGACACCTCTGGAAAGGAACATTTTTCCTTTTCAATCCTTCATATTAAATTCTCTCCGCTAAAATGACTGGTATGGGTTTTGTTCCCTGACTAGATCCTGAACTGATACAATTTCAGTTGACCCTTGAACCACGGGGGGGTTAGAGGGTTAGGGGACCAACCCTCCACACGGTGGGAAAATCCAGGCGTGACTCTAGAGTTGGCCCTCTGTCCACATCCACGGTTCCTCTGTACTCACAGTTCTCTGAACCCGTGTTTCTGCTCCACAGATGCATGCATAGGTCTGTTTGCAGTATTTATAATTGAAAACAAAAAACCCACATATATATGCACCCTTAAAGTTCACATCCACGTAGATCAAGGGTCAAATGTACATCCCCTAGAAATGAGTTGCATGTAAGCAGATCCAGGCACTTGTAGGTGGTACTCTTTCCTTTGGGCTTCCCGGGTAGCTCAGAGGTAAAGAATCCGCCTGCCGTTGGAGACGTGGGTTCAGTCCCCGTGTTGGGAAAATCCCCAGGAGGAGGAAATGACAACCCACTCCAGTATTCTTGCCTGGAGAATCCTATGGACAGAGGAGCCTGGCGGGCTACAGTCCGTGGGGTCGAGAAGAGTCGGACAGGACAGAGCGACTGAACAACCACTCGTCCTGTTGCTGGGAGGCGCCCCTGCTTCCCTGGGATGCTCTCCCTGCCTTTCCTGTGCACAAACACACAGAGACGCTGCCTGAGAGATGCTTGCCAACTCCTCTAAGACAAAGACAACATGCTTTCACTGAAAGCTTAAACTCTAACGCTGCACCGTATACCTCCCGTTCATACAAACTTACCGAGCATTTGCTGCACATAAAGACTCACACTCAGATGAAAACCACATGGTTCCTGACTTCAAGGAACTCACAATCTAGAAAGTTCCTTGAATTCTTCTCTCAATATAGACAAAACCAAAGATCACAGATCCAGGTTCAGCCCAGACTCCATTGACGTCAGCCAGCCGAGTGACTCCCAAGGAGCCAGGACCAGCTCTTGAGCCGCAAAGATCTCTAGGCTCCTGTCACTCACTGAGCACTCTCCGTAGGCAGAGCACTTAAACTTGGCCAATGATGATCACACGATGCTTCGCCTTCTTAAGGTTCACAGGACAAAACTTTTTAGATGACAGCTAGAACACCTCCAAACAGCCCTGGGTATTTTCTCTAATGTCAGCTTCAATTCTTTCTTTCTCCCCTGGATAATCTGCCACGCCCTACTTCACTCTAAGTGAAAGTCCTATGCTATATGCCTTAAAATTAAACATATTTATATTTACATATGTATATACATATGTATGTAAACATGCATAAATATATAAGAATTTTTTTGTCCTCCTCCTCCCAATTCCGTCCCTCTGCCTGGGAACACAGTTCCAGATGGAATGGATTTTCATTTTTTTGTGGCCAGGCCCAAATAAAATGACTTTCTATTCTACACAATAAGAGCTAGGCACCTTGCTTGTTTTAAACTAAATAAATAGAAGATTTAGAATGTGAAAAATAATAATAATACTGTATAAGGAATAAGGAAATGTGAGGACTTTATATTCTAAATAGAATTCTTTAAGTAGAAAAAAATCCACGGCTACTTTCTCGGCCAGTTTTGCTCTCTTATCGCCCTTCTCTGGATAAGACACAGCTGAATTCCTCTAGGCAGCAAAATCACTGCTCGTGTGATTCGGCCGTGAGTCAGTTCGAGATCAGCTCAAAGTCTTGATACGCTTTCAGGTGCTTCCTCGGTGTCCGTGCCATTTAACCCTCAGACTAACGCTAAACCAGCAACGCTTCAGGCAGCTTTCCCAGCTTTCCCATTGGGCTGTGCGTAACGAAAAGGCCAGCAGGCTGTTTCTGTCGTCTCTGCTGCACTCCTGGAGGTTCGAAGGGAGTACGGAAGAGCTGGGCATGTTAATACCCTTCTCTCTGCACGCACATCATCATCATAATTGGCCCCATTTATAGCTTTCCTATTATGGGAAAGCTAGGTGCTTTACATACACTAATTTCTAATGATCCCAACAAACCTGCAAAGTAAGAATTAACACTGTTCTCTACATTTATAATAAGAGGCACTTGAGAGTTATAACATTAAATAGTTTGTCAAGGGCATTCAATTTATAAATGAGACACAGAGTGTTCAGGCCAGATATATTTGCCTCTCTGGCCTAAACTGGTCTCCTTTATTAATCGAATCTCACTGACACTATCACTGAACTGTGCAAGCTCAGCAACAAGAGTTAGTGGTGACTGACTACATGTAATTAATTTTTCGTTGCCCTCTTACAGAAGGACTGTTATAATATAGCACAAAACTCTAGGGTTCTTGCCACTTATATACATTATCTACAATTAGAGCTGCAAGAGTTTATTTCTAGGCTTAAAGTGAGCACTGTGCCCCGGGCTCATTTTGAGAGTCGTCACAGAGTAATTTGGGAGGAAATATAGTTGGATGGGCAGATAAAAGCATGTGCCTACCACAACCTTCTACATACAGATTTGAGTGAGTCAATTACAAGGCCAGAAACGGGTCCCATCAAAATGATAGATACCCTGACACAGAGGATAATAACCAGCTGTAAGACTCCGTTTTGTTACCTGAGACAGAAGCAGGCCAAGTCCTGCTGAGGGAGGCTATGGAATTTAAATTTCAAGGGCCCCCAGAAGTCATCCAGTATTTCTGGTTCAGTGGCCACAGACAGTTTTTATCAGCTGCTTCAGCAGCTTCTCAGACAATGTGGAGTGTCCTGAAGTTTTTGAAATTCCAAAATAATTTATATCAGCACTTTAAAATTTTTAAATGTTTACACTTATCCTTTAAAAAAGATTAAATGGCAAAATTGGATTCCTCCTTATTAGACTTGCTCCTATTGTACATGGGGCAATACAGTAGGGGATACAATACAATACAATATGGGTCCCACACGTTCCAGAACTCCTATCTTCTGTACTTCTCAGGGAGAGGAACTAAAAACAGTACTAAGTTAAGGATACTGAATGTGACGTGGAGAAATTTTGCTTATTCATCAACTTATATTTGCTCTTTGATACAGTCATGTTCAAAGCCGATTAGTTCTTTGTAGACATTTAAAATATTTGAGTGGGAAGAAAAAGTCTTCCTGTTTGAAAGGAAATCATACACTTGTACCATTCTGAAAATCTGTTTATTTTTGACACCTGTTGAGAGGCCGGTGCTTTTCCCCTCAGCTTCATTCAGACATGGATCGGGGAGATGGCTCCATCAAATACATCCTCTCGGGAGAAGGCGCAGGCGTCGTGTTTACCATCGACGACACCACTGGAGACATCCACGCCATTCAGAGGCTTGATCGGGAGGAAAGGGCCCAGTACACTCTCAGGGCTCAGGCCCTGGACAGGCGCACGGGCAGGCCAATGGAGCCGGAGTCCGAGTTCATCATCAAAATCCAAGATATCAATGACAACGAGCCCAAGTTCCTGGACGGGCCTTATGTCGCTACCGTGCCGGAGATGTCACCAGTGGGTAAGGCGGGGATGCACCATGCTGGAGATGTCACCAGTGGGTAAGGCGGGGAGCACCGATCTAGAGATGTCACCAGTGGGTAAGGCAGGGATGCACCGATCCTCACAGACAGCGGTCCCCCTCTAGAAGGCCCTCCCACCTCAACGTGGAGGAGAGAAAGTGCAGAACAGTCCACACAACTGCACCGAGCTACTCAGACGTGAGATCAGCCACAGTACAAACAGCAGTGATACAAAGCCTAGTACTGTTACTCAGCTCTGGGTCTTCCTTCATCTATTTTTATTTACATATTTATCTGACTGAACCAGCTCTTAGTTGTGGCACATGGGATCTGGGATCTTCAATCTTTAGTGTACCATGTGAGATCTTTAGCTGTAGCATGTGGATCTAGTTCCCCAACCAGGGGCTGAACCTGGGTCCCCTGCATTGGAAGCATGGAGTCTTAGCCACTGAACTACCAGGGAAATCCCCAGTTCTGGTTCTTAAAAAGCAAAACAAAATATAGGTGGTAGATAGGTAGGCAGATATTTGATTCATAAGGGAGAGCATTTTGGTATTACCAAAAGAGGAATGAAGAGCCCAAAGCCTGTTTGTCCTCACAAGTTGTTAAGAATGTAAGACGCCAGTAACTCCCATCCCCACTAAAGAGGCACCTGTGTGCTAAGCAGGTATAGAAGCCGGGCCTCTCAAGGGAGCAGACGTAACATTTGCAAGGCCTCAGCACTGCCCGTCCAGGCTTGCCTCCAGTCTCGAGCGAGCCAGCCTGATCGGGTGTCCGCCGCCTCTCTCCCGCAGGGACTTCCGTCATCCGGGTGACAGCCACCGACGCTGACGACCCGACCTATGGCAACAGCGCCCGGGTGGTATACAGCATCCTGCAGGGCCAGCCGTACTTCTCCGTGGACTCCAAAACAGGTGCGTGACGGGGCAGCTGAGTCAGAGCTGTTTGTTTCGTTCTCTCCTAATTTGTAACTGCGGTTTAGGACAGACCCAACTCCCCTTTCCAAGAACTCTCCAGGCGGCGCACTTGCTAGGAAGATGGTTATACACGCGGGGTGAAGACAGCAAGCTAGCGCTGCGCGGTGGGTGAGGGCAGCGTGGTGCAGACAGTGCGTGGGCCTGCTCTCGAGGCCCACAGAACTGCCTCCACAGCAGGGCCTCCTCACCAGCCTTCAAAAACCCAAAAATAATAACAATAGTCCTATGGCTGTATCCATTCCCCAGGAGTAAGGTCTTTCATAACTTCAGGAAGATCTGAGGACTGGCATATTAACCCGGGCTCACTACAGAACCAGCATAATTGATTTTGAAACTAGAAAGCGCCTGAGGCAAGTCATCCAGTCCACCGCCGCTCACTCGGCACGGGAATCGTGAGTGGAGGCCTCACACAGTGCCCGTGGTTGTAGATGTGTCCCCTGACACGTGATCCAGCCTTCTTCCCGCCGGTCCACCCCGTCCTGAGAGAGAGCAAAGGCAGAATGAGTGGAGCAGAGCACTGATGTGGGCCCCGAGAAGGGAGGGGCTCAGTGGGACGCCCCTGCAGGGAGGACCCCCAGAGAACTGGGCGGGCGAGGGTCACGCCCAGAAAAGGACAAGTCCACAGCCAACAAGTCAGTTTGCTTTGGATGTTCTGTTTTGTTTTCAGTTTTACTCAAGAACTTTGACAACAGAATGTATAGTTTGTCTATGAAGAATTCCCTTTAACCATTTTGAATTGGGCAGAGGAACTCAGATATGATTGTTATTAATATATTAATAATATATTATTCCATACTGTCATCTTGCACTTGTGCCAGACTTTCTCCCTTTTAAAATACATTCATAGATCTCACCATATTTGGGTGTCCCAATAATCTTTTAAACTTGTGAAATATATGGAAGCATTATTCATTTTACATGTGGGAAAATTAACATATGAACCTAAGAGTAATTAACAAAAAAACCTGAGTAAAGAAACTTGCAGCCACAGAGACAAAGTCAATGCCAAACACTCAAAGTCATCTCTTTACATGAAATAGAAAAAACACATTCTATTAGCAACCTGATATAATTTTTTCCAGAAGTCCTCAGGGGAACCAAACATTCAGAAAATTATGTCATAAAAGTAGAAAGTAAGAGAGTACAAATTAGTAGGAGGAAAGAAAAGAACGTTCCAGTTAGGGATTTCTATAAAATAGTAATTTTAACCACTCTACAAATGGGGGGAGGGACCGTGAGGGGGTGCCCACAGGGAGGAAAATACAGACAGGAAGAAGGTAATGTGTCCTTTACATCATTAAGAGGAAACTTACATTATTTTGACAGCTCCCAGGGGGCAGCTATAGTGTTAAGGTCAAAAATACATGAAAAGATAGTTACCGCCATGCCCATGGGGCGTTTATAAAAAGAAAGCACTGCATATTTCACTTTAGACTGCTGCTACTGTAATGCGACATATACATGATAGGAGTGAAGCGAAGACAGGTTTGTGGTTCCCAGCCCCTCCCCGTGGCGTGCAGAAGGTCTGCTGGGCCCGGGTCACACTGTAAACGCACAGGAAACAAGCCTTTGATCCTTGTCGAGAGAGTACAGAAGTCAGCTTCTCTAAGTGGAAGCCTTAAAAGGAGGATCACACATGCCCACACATCCTTGGCAGGGTCAAAACAGCACATTTCACAGGATTCTGACTTAGAGCCCTCTCTCTAAACGGAAGCACATTATCACACCCTGATGTTACACACCGTCTGGGCAAGTTCATCTCGTATGGATGTTAACAATAAACATCTCAGAGCATCGTTTACGTCTTAACTGACAGAATGCAGTGAAGCACAGAGACAGGCAGAACCTGGTAAAACAGACTGAACATACAACAACAAGAGGAGCAAATCTGAATGCCACCCCTGCTTCCAGGCACTGGGGAGGCAGGAGAGAGCAGACTGGGAATGAGCTGCCGGGAGAAGAGCCCCTCACACTAGGAGGGCTCAGGCGACTGGAGAGAGAGCTAAAGGAGAAGGATCTAAAATCCGCAGACTTGCGGACTTTGAGGCTTTGTTTCCCACCTGCAGCCCAGTTTTGTCTGGTGAGACAGAGCAGCCCTGGAGTCGCTGCAGACCGGCAGGTCCCAGGTCTGTTAGAGGGCCACCGCTGCCACCTCCTGGCCTTTCTCGGGAGTGCGCCGCGGGAGCCAGCCCGCCAAGCCAGACCCCATGGAGAGGGGTCTGAGTGGGCTCTGGGAGTTGGTGATGGACAGGGAGGCCTGGCGTGCTGTGGTCCATGGGGTCGCGAAGAGTCAGACACGACTGAGCAACTGAACTGAGCTGAACTGAGCCCTTCCGGCTGAAACAGTCTTTACTCGTTCACCCTTTGTTTACACACAACATTTTATTTTTCAAAAAAGCTGGGGATTCCCTGATGGCTCCGTGGTAAAGAATCTGCCTGCAGTGCAGGAGGCGCGGGCTCGATCCCTGGGTCGGGAAGATCCCTTGGAGAGGGAAATGGCAACCCGCGCCAGTATCCTTGCCTGGGAAATCCCATGGACACAGGAAACTGGCGGGGTACAAACTATGGGGTCACAGAAAGTTGGACACGACTGAGCTGAAACGACATTCTGACCTCAAATGTAATAAAACAGGTGACTTGCATCTCTGACAAGGCACAGGGAGAAGCCTAGAATCCAGTCTTTAAAATGGAACTGATGGTTCTGCTTCTACAAACAAAGATGGTTTCTATCCTGCAGGGGTAATTAGGACCGCACTCATGAACATGGACCGAGAAGCCAAAGAGAACTACGAGGTGATCGTCCAAGCCAAGGACATGGGGGGGCAGCTCGGAGGACTAGCGGGGACCACGACTGTCAACATCACCCTCTCAGATGTCAACGATAACCCACCCCGCTTCCCCCAGAGTGAGTACCCAACCGGCGAGAGTGTTGTGACGGGGGCGAGAGAGAGGCCGGTCTGAGTCCCTCTTTGAGTTCAGTTATTCCCGGGTTCCTCTCTGACATTTATCATGCAGTTCTCACATCACCATTTCCCTCCTAAATCCAGCTTCTCAGAGCACTAAACCAGTGTTTCTCTATTTGTCACCATCACCTCCCTCCGGAGCCCTTATAGACCCTTTTTTCCTAGAGTGTCATGCCCTGACCGCTCCCCTCATACAATTAAATATTAAGCAGGAGGATTTTGTTGGGTAGGGATGAACTTTATAAAGCCACAAACCACTGTAATATCTAAGATTTTTTTCACCTCTCTCCAACAAGAATCAATATTTTGAGAATGCATGCAGGGGGAGTAAGCCAAAGCTGGAGGTGAACACAGTGACCCCTCGATTGACAGCAGGTACTGAGCGCTTGCTTTGTAAGGGCCCTGGGCATGAGGGGCGCAAGGTTCTTGAAGCGAAGTCCCTGCCCTTGTGAAGCTGAGATTCCACTTGGGGGCACATACACTGGTATTCATCAAGATCTAAGTGGGAAGCAGCATTTGCTGTGCCACCTGGTTAGTGCGGAATGACGCCTTCAAAATAAACCAAGATGAGTAAAGGCTTAATAAAAGGATGAGAGTTCAACCAGGTATTGAAGAATATAACAGAGTCAAACGGGAAAAAAAGAAAACACTCCTGAAGGGAGAAGCTGTTCATTCAATTTAAAAAATTTTGTTTTGAGCAACATTCTAGTATGGGATATAAAGCCCTAGAAATAAAGCTGCAAATGTAATTTAATGTTCAAAGATCCCAAAAATGAAGACCTGCTCTTTTATTGATTCAAATGTTCCATGTCTAATGGAAGTCACTGCAAAGTTTTTGAGCAAGTGAGAGACATAAAGAAAGGCTACTTTGACAGCCGCGCAGAGCACTGCCTGGCAGGAACGGACACTAGAAGCAGGAGAGTCTGGTAGGAGGCTTTTAGAATGGTCCAGATTTGAACTGATAAGAACGTAAGGAAACAGTGGAAGAAGTGGAATGGGACAAATAAGAAAACTTGGATCTCTACCTCTGATTTCTTGGCTAAGGGGAGGTGGAGTCAAAGATAACAATGATGTTCTAGGTCTGGACAACAGGGAAAAAGATTGTCCTAATGGGAGAAACAGAGGACACCTAGCAGAACTAGTGGCAGGCAACTAACCAAGACAAATTCTGCCTTGAATATGAAGTGACAGCAGGACAATCAGGCTGAATTAAGGAAGGTGGAATATAGAGCTATGACTATGGGATGGAGACCGGGAATGAAGATGTGAATTTGAGAAGCAGATTCTAAAAGGGGGCAACTGGAGAAGTGAGAGCAGCAGACTCAGTTCTGGGTGAAAGACTCAACCAGGGAAATCAGAATCAACAACAGCTAAACTAAAACAGGGCCAAACCAGACCATCTGCTGAAAAGCTGCATTGTGGGTAAACCATTTACTTTATCTGTGTAAATACGGGAATAAAATTCAAATATTTGCATACAACTGGTATCCATAAAGTCCCCATGAGATTTTGTGAAACCAAAAGACAAGATACCAAAATAGTATTTTACAAGTGATATGAACGAGGAGATTATTAAGCTGATCGGTTCTACAGTTCAGAGACTAGAGCATCATGAAACAGTTTATGAAAGGCCATATGGATCAGCTTCTTAAGTGACCCATCTGCTGACCCATCTTTACTATTTCATGAATGGCTCACACTGTGCACAGTAGACTACAGATTCCTGAACATCCCTGAACTATCCCCTGGCTTTGTAATCTGACACTGGACACTATCTCTGAGAAGGCAGAAAGAGAAGAAGAGCGAAGTTATTACACAGTTCATATAGATTTGGACCTACTGTAGGAAAGTTATATTGAATCCTGCTTTCCTTCTTTTTCACAAATATTATCATAACCAATTAGGGATGTTGACACAGTGACACACCTTCTATTTTATACTGAACAAGCTCAGTTACCTTTAATTTAACCAAATATAATGGAATATCAAGACCTCAGGCTATTTATTTCTAATATAATGCACTATGTATAGAAATTGTATGGACAAGATGTTTGTTTTGACACAGAACACCTAACTTTCCTGGAGAAAATTGTTTTTCCCAAACATGTTCTGCAGTAGCAAAGTCTGCCCAATCAACAACTTTGGAAGAGAACGCAAAGAGATCATGAAATCCAAGCGCCTGCAGTTTAGCGCAGGCATTAGCCATTTCCTGGCTCACCTCGGCAAAGAAGAGGCACCGTTTCTCCTCCCCCGCGAGGGAGGCTGCTGAGCGCTGGCTGGGTGCTGTCACCCCCAGGTCATTGTGAGAAGCCAGCCCTCACCCCGACTTCCCAGGGTCACAGCCCACAGCCTGCGATGCATAGGAGAGCCAGAGGCACCGCGGACGTGTCGACAATGTGGCTGTTTGATTACGTCTTTAGTCATCCACACTGACCGACAGAAGAGTGAGGAGCAGCGCAGAGCCGAGCCCGGAGGAGGCGAGTTAACCAAGACGCTGCTCGCGGATGGACATGAACGGAACAAGGGGATTCAGGGTGTCCAGTGGAAAGGCTCTGAGCTTCCCACACAGGTGAGACTTCTGAGGGTATTCTCTTCCAGAAAAGAGGACGAAGAGCATTGAGATGTGTCCCTGAAGAAGCCGCCGGGGCGCAAGCCCCAGGGCAGACACCCTGATGGACGGACGGCGCGGAAGCCGGCAGAGCCGGGCTCTGGGGCCGGGCCTATTCTGCAGGTGCTGGTCAGCTCCGAACGTGGGCAGCTGGCCACAGACAGGTGCTCAGCGTGCTGGCCCGGCCACAGGAAAATGTGTGCGTCTGAAACACAAACAGAATAAACGTGCACTCTGTGACCACAACAGCATTAACACTGGGGAACTGAAAGACTGGAGAGCAAGGTACCGCCTACCACCCTGGAGGCGCATGCACTGAGGTAAGCAATATGTTTGCTTTTGTCCTGTCCTACTCCTAGGATTATGATCGACGTATTTTGGCCCCTCCTCATCTGACATCCAGTGCAGGCTATGACCCAGTAACGTCTGCTTAGTCCTTTGGATCTCAGTCTTTTCATTGGTAAAACTCAAGTTTTAACTTTGGATGATGAAAAAGATGTTTTGCACAGCGTGGCGGATGTGATGTGATACAGAGGAGGTGTTTTTTGTGTAGTGACAGGTTACAAAAACTGCATGTTCTGACTTCTTCACAGAACACTACCAGATGAGTGTGTTGGAATCAGCTCCGGTTAGCTCGACTGTGGGGAGGGTGTTTGCCAAGGACTTGGACGAAGGAATCAACGCGGAGATGAAGTACACGATCGTGGATGGGGACGGGGCAGACGCATTCGACATCAACACGGATCCCAACTTCCAAGTGGGCATCATAACCGTGAAGAAGGTAACCGAGCTCCTTCTTCCAGGTCATTTCAGGGGAGCCCTTGAGTGTGTGTGAAATATTAGTAAGAACTGTTATATTATTAATAGTATTGCTTTAAATCCTCTGATAAACACTCTCCTATCATTAAGAAAAAAAAAGTCTTGGACCTCCCTGGCAGTCCAGCGGTTAAGACTCCAACTTACAAGGCAAGGGCGTGCGCAGGCTTCGCTGCTCCGTCGTGTCCGACTCTCGGCAACCCCACGGACTGTAGCCCGCCGGGCTCCTCTGTCCGTGGGACTAGCACAGCCAAGAATACTGGCCTGGGTTGCCATTTCCTTCTCCAGGGGATCATCCCAATTCAGGGATCTGTCCGCCCGCATCTCCCGTGCCTCCTGCATGGCAGGCAGGTTCTTTACCACTGCGCCACCTAGGAAGCCCCAGGGTTCAATCCCTGTTCAGGGACCTAAGATCCTGTGTGCTGCACATCAAGGCCAAAAACTCAGACAAAATGACAACAAAGAAAACCCCTTACTCCTTTTGTTCACATGTAAACACTGGCTATGTCATCGTTTTACAGGAAGGGTACCAAGTCATGATAAAAATATAAACATGTCACTTCTCCTAGCTCACTACTTCAGTTCAGTTCAGTCGCTCAGTCGTGTCTGGCTCTTTGTGACCCCATGGACTGCAGCACGCCAGGCCTCCCTGTCCATCATCAACTCCAGGAGTTTACTCAAACTCATGTCATCAAGTCAGTGATGCCATCCAACCATCTCATCCTCTGTCATCCCCTTCTCCTCCTGCCCTCAATCTTTCCCAGCATCAGGGTCTTTTCAAATTAGTCAGTTTTTCATCAGGTGGCCAAAATATTGGAGTTTCAGCTTCAGTGTCAGTCCTTCCAATGAATATTCAGGACTGATTTCCTTTAGGATGGACTGGCTGGACCTCCTTGCAGTCCAAGGGACTCTCAAGTCTTCTCCAACACCACAGTTCAAAAGCATCAATTCTTCAGCGCTCAGCTTTCTTTTGGTCCATAGCTTTGACTAGACAGACCTTTGTTGGCAAAGTAATGTCTCTGCTTTTTAGTATGCTATCTAGGTTGGTCATAGCTTTTCTTCCCAGGAGCAAGCATCTTTCATGGCTGCAGTCACCATCTGCAGTAATTTTGGAGCCCAAGACAAAATGTGGTCCACTGAAAAAGGGAATGGCAAACCACTTCAGTATTTTTGCCTTGAGAACCCCATGAACAGCATGAAAAAGCTCACTACTTAGCCACTTAAAAAAAAAAAAAATGTCATGGCTTAATTCCCTCAAAATATTAATGACTTAACCAATATCTGCATTTGAATAACCTCATTTTTACCACAGTATACTATAAATAACAATAAAGCAAGCTATCCTATTATTATTAATCAATAAATAACAGGCAGGGATTTTTAAACTGCTACTTAAAGACTCACGGATGCTAATTAGACTTGGAAAGGCTTTATCAAACATAGCTGCTGAGAGATGTCACCACTTGAAACTCTCTGCTTCATAGTAAGTTAATACGTTTCCTAAATGTAAGCTATCAATTCTGTGGCATAAAGCACATATGTATATACTCAGCTGAAAGACAGAACCTAATAAAATTGAAGTTTTAACATCCTAATAAATATATCTGATAAATTAATTCAAAAAAGTATTGGTTTAATCTTCCTTTTCTTCTATTTCAAATACACTTTAAAATTCAAGGTATCTTAAATTATTTCTTCAATAAACATTTGTTGAGTGCCTACCTATGTGCCAGGCACTGCATTTAATGTAGAAAGTAAATAAAATGACCAAAAGCCTCTGCCTTCTTGAAATTTACATTCTATGAGGGGAAGAGGACTATCACAATAGCAAGTAAGTCAATGAGGCAGTGAATCAGAAAGCAGCAAGTGCAGTGCAGGAGGGGGTGAGGTCAGAAGAGCCAGCACGACTTCAGATTTAACTTCATGCTTGGGGCTGGCCTCACACAGAAGTGACATTTATGCAAAGATGTAAAGTGGGCAGAGTCAGGGTATCGCTGGTTGTCCAGTGGCTGAGATTCCGTGTTCCCAATGTAGAGATCCCTGGTCAGGGAACTAGATCCCACGTACTGCAACCAAAGATCCCGTAGGCCACAACCAGGGCCAGGTGCAGCCAAATGACTAAATATATTAAAAAGAAGAAGAAGAAGAAGAAGAAGTAGGCAGAGTTACAGCATGGAGCTGGGCAGATTGACGATGCCCAACCCTAGGAGGAGCCCCATGAATGACTCTCAGTGAGAGCCATAAACGGGAGCCCTGCACACAGGGAACGGGTATGTAAAGAGTTCCGGACAAAGAGACAGTCAGAGCACGGCCCTGAGGGGGACTCTGCCCAGCGTGTCTCGAGAATGGAAGGAGCTTTCTAAGGTCCGAGAGGGACACTAGGAGGAGATGAGGCCCGAAAAGGAGCAAGGGGGCCGGACGGTGTTAGGGCCGTGTGTGCAGATGGCAGGACGCTGGATGCTTATCTGACTGGAGTGCAGAACTGAAGGATTTTAACAGATGTGTGACATCATTGGACTTCTACTATGAAATGATTACTGTGTAATCTGTGTTGGGAAAAAGACCATACGGGGGCAAGAATGGAAATGGGGACACCAGCTGGGATGCTATGGTGATAATCCAGGTAAGAGAGGATGATGCCTTGGTCTAGGGTATTGGGAATGGAGGCAGTGAGAAGCGGTCAGAATCTGAATATATTTTGAAAGTAGGACTAACAGCCGTCCTCTTTTTCTTTCACATCCTCAGTCAATCTGTTAGGAAGAAAAGGAGGAGTCAGTTGAGCAACAAAAAGAATAGAGCTGGCAGTAAGTGAGATGGGAAATATCGGGATTCAGGGCTGGGCATGTTGCATTTGCGACGTCCATTAGACACCTAAGTGGAGATATACAGTCGCTGTTTGTTACAGGAGTCTGGAGTTTGGAGAAGAGTTCTGAGTGAGAAATATAAATTTGAGAGTCATAAATGGTACTTAAAGCAAGTAAAAAAAAAAAAATATGCCAAGGGATTGAGCATCTCTAGAGAAGACAGCAGTGAAGTAAGCCCTGTGGCGCCCCTTGGCGCGGTCAGGGAGGGCAAAGACAAGCAAGGAGACTGAGGCGGAGAGACCAGGCAAGCAGAGGGAAATCAGGAGACTGTGCTGTCCTGGGCGGCGGGAGACACTTTCCAAGAGAACAGTGACTGCCTGTGATAAAGGCTGCTAAAGGACACAGAAGAACACTGAAAATCAATCACAGACTTTAGGAACCTGGAGATCATTGATGACCCTGACAAAACCAATGAAGTCATAACAGACTGTGGCATGAATTAATGTGTTTAATAATAACCTTATTCTATACTGTTCCATAGAGCTGAGTTAACGCTGCTTTAGAAGGAAAGAAGGGAAGAGTTCACATGTTTGTCCTGTATTTACTGAAAGTGCAGTCAAGTACAGCAAAAGAACAGATATATCCAGCATTCCTCCAACCAGAAATCTTTGTAACGGGCACACAATGACCTCAAAACTGTGCAAAATGCTGACATTAATTTTGGTATCATCATATAAATTTGGATGTAATTTAAATATTGCAGTTTATTTTATTCATATTTTAAGGATTAATAAAAAATTATAAAAGGTCATTAGAAATAATAATACAAAGTCATCATATGATAAGATTAAGAACGCTCCCCTATTATGTCAGTCAGTTCAGTCGCTCAGGCGTGTCAGACTCTTTGCAACCCCATGGACTGCAGCACACCAGGCCTCCCTGTCCTTTACCGTCTCCTGGAGCTTGCTCAAACTCATGTCCATTGAGTCGGTGATGCCATCCAACCATCTCATCCTCTGTTATCCCCTTCTCCTCCTGCCCTCAGTCTTTCCCAGTATCAGGGTCTTTTCAAATGAGTCAGCTCTTTGCATCAGGGGGCCAAAGTATTGGAGTTTAAGCTTCAACATCAGCCCTTCCAATGAACACCCAGGACCCATCCATATCAAATATTTGAAATTGCTTACAATATGCCACATACTGTGCTAGGCACTTCACTTAGACTAATTTATTCAGTTATCATAAGGTAGGAACTATTCTACTATTAATATGTCCAACTTGACAGCACAAAGAGGCCCAGAGGTATTAGTAACTTGCTTAAAATTATATAGCTTAGAAGCTGAAAAGTCAGAATATGAACTTAAGTCCTCAGGTTTGGGAGTTTGTTTTCTTAACCACTCCCTATGAATGTTGAGTTTTAAGCCAGCTTTTTCACTCTCCTCTTTCACTTTCATCAAGAGGCTCTTTAGTTCTTCTTTGCTTTCTGCCATAAGGGTGATGTCATCTCCATTTCTGAGGTTATTGATATTTCTCCTGGCAATCTTGATTCCAGCTTGTGTTTCATCCAGCCCAGCATTTCGCATGATGTACTCTGCATATGAGTTAAATAACAGAGTGACAATATACAGCCTTGATGTACTTCTTTCCCAATTTGGAACCAGTCTTTTGTTCCAGTCTTCAGTTCTAACTGTTACTTCTTGACCTGCATACAGATTTCTCAGGAGGCAGGTCAGGTGGTCTGGTATTTCCATCTCTTGAAGAATTTTACAGAGTTTGTTGTGATCTACACAGTCAAAGGCTTTGGTGTAATCAATAGAGCAGAAGTAGATGTTTTTCTGGAATTCTCTCACTTTTTCAATGATCCAATGGGTGTTGGCAATATGATCTCTGGTTCCCCCTATGTGGCATGCCTCAAGTTATAAATTAATAATATATTGCTTACCATGACTGATAACTATCAACAAGGTAAAAGTTCAGAGTTTTGGATAATTATTGTCTAAGGCAAAAATTATCTTTAAAAAATTAAGCAATCAAAAACAGAACCTTTGAGGTTTCAGTATATTTTAAATTTTATATCTTAAAATAATATTTAAGTCAACTCTTGGTGATCCCATGGACTGTAGCCCACAAGGTTCCTCTGTCCATGGATTTCCCAGGCAGGAAT